GGATGGAGTTTTTAGAGAGTTAACTTTTCTAAAGAGTCAAGCGTCATATAATTTACAGACGAGTAGAGTACACTGTGTGAACAATTATTAGGCAAGTGAATATTTTAACCAAATCATTTTCATGCATATTTTCCACTTCCAAAGTGTATCAATTTGAATGCTTAGTGGATATTAGCATATCAGGTGATGTGTATTTGTGTAATGAGGGAGGTTGTGGCCTAAGGAGATCAACGTTCTATATCAAGGTGTGCATAATTATTTAGGCAGCTTATTTTCCTCAGGGAAAATGGGCCAAAAAAGAGATTTAACTGATTCTGAAAAGTCAAAAATTATAAAAACTCTTTCAGAGGGATGCAGCGCTCTTGGAATTGCTAAGATATTGGGGCGTGATCACAGAACCATCAAACGTTTTGTTGCAAATAGTCAACAGGGTCGCAAGAAACCTGTTGAGAAAAAAAGACGCATATTGACTGCCAAAGATTTGACAAGAATCAAACATGAAGCTACGAGGAAACCATTATCCTCCAGTGCTGTCATATTCCAGAACTGCAACCTACCTGGAGTGTCCAGAAGTACAAGGTGTTCAGTGCTCAGAGACACGGCCAAGGTAAGAAAGGCTGAAACCCGACCACCATTGAACAAGACACATAAGTTGAAATGGCAAGACTGAGCCAAGAAATAGCTGAAGACAGATTTTTCAAAGGTTTTATGGACTGTTGAGATGAGAGTGACTCTTGATAGACCAGATGGATGGGCCCATGGCTTGATCTATAAAACGGGCACAGAGCTTCACTTCGATTCAGACCCCAGCAAGGTGGAGGTTGGGTACTTGTGTGAGCTGGTATTATTGAAGATGAGTTAGTTGGATGTTTTCGGGTTGAAGGTGGACTCAAAATCAACTCCCAAACCTACTGCCAGTTTTTAGAAGGCACTTTCTTCAAGCAGTGGTACAGGAAAAAGTCTCTTTCAAGAAGACCATAATTTTTATGCTGAGCATTGCTCCATCGCATGCATTGCATGCATGGCTAGTCAGTAAAGGCCTTAAAGATGAAAGAATAATGACATGACCCCCTTCCTCACCTGACCTAAACCCTATTGAGAACTTGTGGGCCCTTCTTGAATGGGAGATTTACAGTGAAGGAAAACAGCACACCTCTCTGAACAGTGTCTGGGAGGCTGCGGTTGCTGCTGCACAAAACGTTGATCGTCAACAGATCAAGAAACTGATAGACTCCAAGAATGGAAGGCTTATGACTGTTATTGAAAAGAAGGGTGGAATATTAGTCACTGATTTTTTTTGAAATGTAAAATGTTTATTTGTACATTTTGAGTTGTTTATTATTCTCACTTTAACAGATGCAAATAAACGAGTGAGATGGGCAAATTTTCATTTTTCATTTAGTTGTATGATAATTCTGCACACTAATAGCTGCCCAATAATTGTGCACAGATATTCTCCTAAGAAAGCCAAAACCTCACTTTTACTTTCTTAAATATTCAGGTTTGAAGTTTATTAGCATTTTGGATTGACCGAGAGCACTGTAGTTGTTCAAATAAGAAAATTAATTCTCCAAAATAAAACTTTCCTAATAATTGTGCCCACAATGTAGAGTAGAATAGACTAGTGTGGCCAAGTGTGATTAGACACACAAGGAATTTGTCTCTGGTGCAGAAGCTCTCAGTGTATGTGTAAAACAGAGTAATAATACCAATAAGAGGGGGTAGTAAAGAAGATAAGGATAATAATGCTACAGCTATATAACATGGGTAAATGTATGTAGATTTAGACAGTACCGTGAGAATTATGTGTTCAGTAGAGTAAAGGTATGACGAAAGAAATTGTCCCGTGTCTAGTTCTTTTGGCATGCAATGGCCTATAGTGGCATCTCAAGGGGAGGAGTAGAAACAGTTTATGTCTAGGATGTGAGGGGTCTATAAATATTTTCTTAGCCCTCCTACTGACCTGCACAATATACAGGTCTTCTATGGAAGGTAGGCTGGTTACAGTTGTTCTTTCTGCAGTCCTAACTATCTGTTGAAATCTGTACCTGTCCTGTTTGGTTGCTGTACCAAACCAGACAGCTAGAGAAGTATAAATAACAGATTCAATAATTTGTCAGTAGAGCTGTATCAACAGCTCCTGGGGCAGTCTGAACTTTCTGAGTTGATGCAGGGAGAACATTCTTTGTTGTGCTTTTTTAATGACAGTTCTAATGTTAGGTGTCCATTTCAAGTCCTGGGAGATTATAGAAGCCAAAAACTTGAAGATCTGTATTGTTGATATTGTGTTGTCTAATATTGTAAGAGGTGGTAGAGCTCCTCCTAAAATCCACTCTCATCTCTATAGTTTTAAGCATGTTCAGCTTCAGATTGTTCCGGGTGCACACACAGGGCCAGTATTCAACCTGCTGTCTATATGCAGACTCATCACCATCTTGAATGAGACCAATGACTGTTGTTATCATCTGCAAACTTCAGTACTTTAACAGAGATCCTAAATAATAAAAACTTTACTAAAATGGTTAAAATTACAATTGAAACTAAACATGAACTGATTATGAAAAACCTATCTTGTGCAACTTGTGCTTCTTTGAATAATGTTGGACTGCGATTCCAGATTGGCAATAGAAATTCTATATTTTGGGAGCCCATTGTTGGGGAAGCTGTGAATTGCTTTGGTGTATGATTTTACAGCAGTAAATGCAATAAATTGCAGAACAAGTAAGTGGTATCACCAATATTTGTTCCCCAGTGATGATAATCAGAAATGTTGGTTGTGCTCCTAAACAAGCCTCCTGGATTATTGTAATCCAGTTTTCTGGATTTGCATGATATACTTGATCATAAATTTGCCCTATCTGTAGAATTGCACAACCCTCCATGCTTTGGTGCATGAAGATAGCCATGGTTTGAGGACACACTAATGTAGCTTTTTGCATGTTGGCATCCCCCAAAGTATGATTTCCATCACTATCAGCCAACAAAGTTGCATGACAGTCAATGATGCAAATTGTAGGGCCTTTTTCAGGTGCTGAGGTAATGCTCTCCCCTGGTTCTTGAGTTTCAGAAAAACTTGAGGGCCGTTAACCCTGTGAAAACTTTCTCACAGGCAGGGGTATAAGGTGAAGACAACATAGCATGGCAGGAACAAATGTCAGGGGATGATGGCACTGGGAGTTTGTGCCAAGGGGAAAGGCCTCATTGAAGAAAACATCTACAGGTAATCTTTGATTTACAACCATTTGTTTAACAACTGTTACAATGCCACTGAAAAAAGTGACTTACAACAGTTCTCTCATAATTATTACAGCATCTCCCATGGTTATGTGATCAAAATTTGGGTGCTTGGCAACCAGCATGTACAGTATTTACAATGGTTGCTGATTCCCAGGGTCATGTGATTGCTCTTTGTGAATTTTTCAGCAGGCTTCTAACAAGCAAAGTTAATGAGGGAAGCCAGATTTAGTTAACGATTGCATGATTCACCTAGCAATTGTGACAAAAACAGTAAAATTGGGCATGATTCACTTAACCACTGCCTTGCTTAACAACAAAATTCTGGTTGCAATTGCGATCTTCTGTTGAGGACTACTTGCAGAAGATACAAAGTTACAGAAGGCAGTGATATACCATAAGCAGCATTGACTCTAATGATTCCTAAACACCAGGGGTCTTCAAACCTGGCCCTTTTATGACTTGTGGACTTCAACTCCCAGAATTCCTCAGCCAGGTATGCTGGCTGAGGAATTCTGGGAGTTGAAGTCCACAAGTCATAAAAGGGCCAAGTTTGAAGACCTCTGCTCAACACCAAGGTATTGAATGTGAATCCATCTGATTATCACAGCAGCCATTTGGACTCTCTAATAGTGTTTTTTCAAACTTGGTGACTTTAAGATGTGTGGTCTTCATGCATGCTGGCTGGAATTCTGGGAGTTGAAGTCCACGTATTGTAAAGGCGCCAAGTTTGAAAAACAGCATATGTTACACGTTGTATACAGCAATGTATATGTTGTCTTTTAATTCTGTGGTTAGAATTTCAACAGTTTACATCGGAAGCAGGGAACTATGGCCCCTTTATGACTTGTGGACTTCAATTCCCAGAATTCCTGAGCCAGCATGGCTGGCTAGGAATTCTAGGAGTTGAAGTCCACAAGTCATAAAGGGGCCATAATTCCGGCCCTTGGTTTATATCAGTGTTTCTCAACCTTGACACTTTTAAGGCATGTGGACTTCAACTCCCAGAATTCCACAGCCAGCTATGCTGGCTGTGGAATTCTGGGAGTTGAAGTCCACATGCCTTAAAATTGTCAAGGTTGAGAAACGCTGGTTTATATGAACGCCCAGCTAGAAGATGCACTGAAGAAAAAGGCTGCTGGTCTTCAAGTCCCGGCAGTGACGGGGGCGTTTAAAGCGAGGCGACGCAGCTCACAGACTGCGACGGCCTGGCGCTGAAGGAGGTGGAGCCCCAAACAACGTAGAAAGCGAAAACACCCGCCCTTCGACTTCACGTAACGACAGAGCCTCGCTTGGGTTTTCGCAACCAGCCAGACCTCTCCGCCGGCCTCCCTCTGCTTTTTTTTCCCCCCCTCGCCGGGTGAGGGCCGGGCTAGTCGACTCCTCGCTCACGGCCCCGCCCTTCTCGCGCGCTCTCTGCCCTTTGACGTGGCACGGGTCCCCCCCCCCCCGCCCAGCCATGATTGTTGCGTCGGCGGCGCTCAGCCTGCTGGGTTCCGTGTGCGCGAGGGCGAAGTGAGAGAGGCGGTTGGAGGCTCCCGGAGCAGAGGTGAGTCGCGGGAACGGAAGGAAGGAAGGAATGAAGGCAGGCAGGAAGGAAGGATAGAGTGGGCAACCGAGGAGACTCGGTCCTCCCCGTCTGGCCCGAGGAAGCTGAGGGGGTGCGCCGTCGGGGAGAAACCCACAGTCCAGTGTGTAGGGAGCGGGAAAGGAGGGGGACTTCGACTTCTTCCGAGCCCGTCGACTCTCTAGGAGTTTACCGGGGGATGCTGTCACGCTCCTTTGCCCAGTAACCCGAGATGTCGTCGTGGGCTAAAGCTGGAGGGGGTTCCCTTCCTTTAATTAAGATCGTGTTGTAGAGGTTTCGTCTTCAGAATGCTCTATCCTGGCCACCTTTAGCCCTTCTTCCCCCTTCCTCTTCCAGTCACTTCCCCCGGGATAGCTTTAAAACCCAAACTGGTTTCTGACATTCGAAGAGAGAGAGACTCTCCCAACTTGGGAAGGAAGGTATGGTGGGTATGAATTGGGCAGATCAGTGAGTGGTGCTTCTCTATTGAAGCGGGTGTGTTTGAACGTTGAGAGCATCGGGAGACACGGAACAGTCGTGTGGAGTGGGACTCCCCTTTTTTTCTCTCTCTCTGACCATCCCATATTCTCTGGAAGCCTGTCTAAAATCTGATGCTCCTAGTTGCATTGAGTTGTATCTCTGCAACTTAACGTGCGACATCATCCCTAGATGACATTGTGTATGTTAAGCCTATTTCTAAATCAGAAAGGGGGGGGGAGAGAGAGATCAGTGTCTTTTTTAAAAGGAAGTAGCTGTCGGCAAAAGTGTCAGTAAAAAAGGGAGTTGAATAATGCAAAGGGGGTTCTTAAAATCAAAACATTAAATGGGAAAGGAAGAAGAGAGGACTTAGAGTAGATTACGTTTTTTTGGGGGGGGGGAAAGAAGCTTAGTAGATTTTTGTAAACTTGAATACTTATTTTTTGTAAATTCAGGTGTATCTGCTGCTAGTGGCAAATACTGTCAGTTGTACGAGATAATACATGTATGTTCCTCAAAAACAGTATAGTTCTGAATCAGACAGTAGCAAATATATTATGGCTTGAGCTTTTGTGAATTAGAGCCAAGATGTTAGATGCATGAAGAGGAACTTCATAGAATCATAGGTTTTGAAGGGACCTTGGAGATCTTATAACCCAACCTTCCTCCAAGATAGGAGTCCTTATACCATCTTGGACAAGTGATTATCCTATCCTTGAAAACTTCCAGCAATGGACCACCCACAACTCTGGGAGGCAGGTTGTTTTGTTGATTACTGTTCTCACTGTCAGAAAATTCCTTCTTATTGCCAGGTTGCTTCTTGTCCTAACTGCAGGTGCTATGGAGAATAAGTCGATGTCTCTTCCCTTCGCCTTCAAGTATTATCATGTCTGCCCTCTGTCTTCTCTTTGTTAAGCTAAACATACCTAGTTTTTTCAGCCATTCTAAAGAAGCCATAGAAAGGATTTTGCTTCCAGATCTCTTATAATCTTTGTTGCTCTTTTCTGTACTCTTTCTAGGGCCTCAGGATCTTTTTTGTGTGTGGTGTCAGAACTGGACACAGTATTCCAAATGTGGCCTTACCAGTGCAGTGTGAAGCATATCCCTTGATCTTGATACTGTGCTTCTGTTGATGCAGCCCAGCCTGGGACTGTGTTATCTGTTTTGACAACTGCAGCACATAGCTGACTCATACTTCAGTGGTGGTCCACCAGGACATCTAGATCCCCCTTATAAGTACTACTGTTGAGCCAAGTACTGCCTATCCTGTATCGGTGCATCTGGTTTTTCCTGCTTAAGTGCAGGATATTACTTTTCTTGCCATTGAACTTCATCTTGTTGGATAGGCCCCAATGCTCAAATCTGTCAAGATTCAAGATCTGAATTATGACTCTATCTTCTGAACTGTTAGCAGTTCCCACCAGCTTTGTGGTGGGAAAAAAATTGATGTGCCCTTCAATCCCCTCATCTAGGTCATTTATGAAGATATTGAAGAGCAGTGGTCCCAAAATAAAACCTTAAGGAAGCCCATCGCATACTTCCCTCCATGTAGATGTAGTTCCATTAAGGACCACAAGCTGAGTGGGTTTGGTAGCGGTACTGTCTGTCTTACATTGTTCTATTTTACTGAGAAATAGGCTGTGGTCTACTTTACAAAATTCCTTACTGAAATCTAAGTATGCTGTATCCACAGCATTTTCTTGGTTCACTAATTTAGTCACTTTATCAAACAGGGCAGTAAAAATCGTTTGACATGTTCTGTTCTTAACAAACCAGCTGCTTGATTATGTTTTCCAGGATTTTCCCAGGTATTCATGCCAAGCTGGTTGGTCTGTGGTTTCTTGACTACTCCCCTCCTCCCTTTTTAAAAAAGTTTGGAACCACACTAGCTTTTTCCAGTCTTGGCAGTTCAATGCTTCAGGAGCTCTCAGAGATTTCATTCAATGGTTCCGAGATCACATTTGTCAGCTCCTTCAGTACCCTGTGATGTAACATATCCAGTCCAGGAGACTTGAACTCATTCAGAGCAATTAGTTTCTAACCATTTTTTTTACATTTTTTTAGCCAACATTTCTCTTTTGTCTCCCAGGGTGCTGTTTTTGATAGGTTGGACTATTTTTTTTCCTTTTGCAAAAAGACTGGTGCAAGAAAGGAATTGAGCAGTTCTGCCTTCTCCTTGCTGTCACCTTTTTGTTACCTTCTCCTATTAGTGAACCAACCACGTCCTTGACTTTCCTCTTGCTACTTACCTATTGAATTTTGTTCTTATTTTTGATATTTGTTACAGGTCTTAGCTCATTCTGAGTCTTAGCTGTCCTGACCGTCATTGCAGATTTGGGCTATTTTCTGGTATTCTGCTCTAAGTTACAAGCCCCTCTGTCCGTTCTTTATACTTGTCCTTTTTGTCCCTCAGCTTGTCATATAGTTCTTTGTGCAACCATGCTGGTCTTGTCAAGTGTCTCTTGTTTTACTTGCTATATGATATTGTTTTTGTTTGGGCCTTTATTATCTCATTTTTCAGAATTTCCTATGCACCCTGAATTGTTTTTCCAGCTAGAATTTCCATCCATGGAATGCTTCTTATTCTTTTTCTTAATTTGTTGAAATCATCTCTCTTAAAATCTAGAACACTAGTCCTTCATTTACCCTTACATGCAGTACTGTGAATCCTCAAATGACATGGTTACTCTCTTCCAATATTCCTGCAATTTCCACTTCCTCGACCACTTCATCCCTATTAGTAATTATCCAGTATAGCTGACCCTTTAGTACCCCCTCCCTCTTTTGGGTCATAGAGTTGTCAGCTCTGCATGTTAGGAATCTGTCAGTGTAGTTAAAGTCCCCCTTTACTACAGTGGTGTTTCTTGGACACTTCAACTAATTGATTTATGGAGAAATTCATCTATTTCCTCTACTTGGCTGTGTGGCTTATAATACACACCTATACAATGTCATTTCTTTTTCCTTTGTATTTTCATGTGCCCTAAACTTACATTTTTAAAGAATGAAAAATAGGCAAGAAGCAAGGTTATGGAATATCTGTGATATATTTTTTTGATAAAAAACAGTAACTATCAGATTTTAAAATATGACAAATTAAGATCTTATGTATTTTAATTAAATTTTAGGGATTGAAAATTAATAGTAACTGTGTGTAACGTATTCCATGGGGATTTGCAGAAAAAAACAAGTTATACCCCAAGGTACTAATTTGTAGTCATCTGTTTTCCAGCTTCACTAGGCATATTGAAATAGAATTAAATATATTTTTTAAAAGGATAGCTGAATATATGCAGAAGGTTGTTTCCTGGACTTTGGATTGTTTGTTTAATTGACTACAGTAATAAATAGACATACAGTTGATAAACCTGTTTAGAAAGAAATAAGTCCATGAAAGAGAACCAGGTTGATGTAGTGGTTTATTTTTTATTTATTAAATTTCTATGCCATCCATCTCCCCTACAAGGTGACTCTGGCTGACTTAAAAATTATAGAAACAAGTGAAAAAAATTAAAAGATTGAAGTGAACCAACATTAAAATATTAGTAAAAACTGTGCTAAAACTGCACCTACAAGAGCCAAGAGATGGATGGGATGACGCGGTGAGCGTCCTCTTCTGGGCCCAACTAGCAAAGCCAGGTTTTGATACCCTTCTGGAAGGCCAAAAAGGAGGGGGCAGTTCTCGCCTCCAGTGGAAGAATGTTGGGGCCACAGCAGAAAAAGGCTCTTCTTGATCCACCTGCAGACGTGATCCTTGATTCCTTAGCAGATGGAATCCATAGTGGGCCTCTGCCACTGGCACTAGTGGGGTAGGGTTGTCCCATTGGGGAGAGACAGCTTGTCAGATACCTTAGACCCATGCCATGTAGGGCTTTAAAGGTAACGATCCACAGCTTGAATTGGATCCAGAAGCAAACTGGCAACCAATGCACCTTGCATAGCAGCGGTATTATATGTGCAGCCCTAGGAGCTCTCAGGAGTGTGCAGGCTGCTGCATTCTGCACCAGGTAGAGCTTCTGAATACTGTTCAAAGGTAACGCCATGCAGAGCGCATTACAGTAATCCAGCTGACACATGATTATGGCATGAGTAACCATGGCATCCTAATGAGAAGGAAGGACTCACTGGAGAAGAGCCTAATGCTGGGAAAGATTGAGGGCAATAGAAGAAGGGGACGACAGAGAATGAGGTGGCTGGATGGAGTCACTGAAACAGTAGGCGTGAGCTTAAATGGACTCCAGAAGATGATAGAGGACAGGAAGGCCTGGATGAACATTGTCCATGGTGTCGCGATGGGTTGGACACAATTTCACAACTAACAACAACAACCATGGCATGATCCAGGAAAGGGCACAAGTGGTACAAAATGCAAAGTTGCACAAAGGCCCTACTAGCCACTTTTTGAGCAGGAGTTGTGAATCCTGGAGGACCCCCAAGTTGCGCACTGAATCTGTCTGGGGTAGTGTAATCCCATGCAGAATTAATGAGTTAATGATGATAAATCACCAGATCCAGAAATCCCTTGCACAACTGCAGGCATCGGTACATGATTCATTTTCCCTTTACTAATTTCTCAAAGAACCATGAAGATGCAAAATGGTTACCTACCTGCTTCTAGGGAATTTTAGATACAACCAACTATCATGAAACTTAGTAACTCTTAAATATGACCAGCATTTTATCCTGCCTTTTTCCGATTTGTACTTCAAATGCCTATTTGAATAAGAAATTCTTATTTATTTTATCTTAATATAATACATAATACTGTTGTAGTTAGATAGTTACTTTTATTTAATTCATTCTGTTCAATAGAAGAGGTGGGCTCTGGTTTCTGCTTCTATTGCATACTGCTACTGAGCTTGCACTAAATAGTTTCCAAGTTTTGTGTAGTATAACAGTTGATCTTGATTAGCACCTAAGAATGTATGATGTACAGTGGATAGTAAACTACGCTGAATTTGTTAATTTAAACGCTGTTTTAGGCTGTTTTCAAATGGATGCAAGTGATAACCATGATAATTTATCAAAATAAGATTTTTCAAATTGAAGCTACTTTGTAGGGCAGTGATGGCAAACCTTTTAGAGACCGAGTGCCCAAACTGCAACCCAAAAGCCACTTATTTATCGCAAAGTGCCAGGGCTGCAACAACATTGTGGTGCCCTTGGCGGGGGGCAGTGGGTGGGCGTGGCTGCAGTGGTCACAGCAGACTGGATGAGCGGGCCGGGGCCAGGGCGGCAGGGGCCAGTCCCTCACCATCTAACGCTGCTTGCTCGCTCATTTCCTGCCCTGTCGCTTCCAAATGCCACGTGTTCACTACTCTGACGAACTCTGCTGGGGCAACGGCACGCGTGCCCACAGAGAGGGCGCTGAGTGCCGCCTCTGGCACGCGTGTCATAGGTTCGCCACCACTGTTGTAGGGTAACAGCTTTCAGAATTGCTGTAATGTTTAGGAGTGAAACCGTTGCTTAAGGTACATGTGCTTGTGCATTTGGAAATTTCCAAATTTGCATTTCGCTAAGGAGTGAAACAGTTACTAAACAGAACAGAGACTCTTAATTGTTATTCATTTTCTTTCTATAGTTTTATGGACAGACAAGAATTTTCATATTTTCCAGATAACTAGTAGTGAAAATACATGAATTCCCTAAAACAATGGTCCCCATCCTTTGGCTCGGCTGGAGGGGGAGAGGGGAACTGGGCCGCGGGAGTGGTGGGCTGGCGCGTACGCAACCCTTATGCTAATGGTGGGCTGGCACACACGTGCACGCAGCCCATGCTTGAACAGCAGGCTCACATGCAGGTGCCCGCCGGCCCGCCACTCACACAAGGTGAGCTGCACATGCATGCACTCCGGCCAGCACCTCACATGACCCAATTCCGAAGAGGTCACGGGCTAGTAGTGGGCGGCGACCCGGGGGTTGGGGACCCCTGCCCTTAAATTATTGTATTGCTTTTAATTTATCCTCAAGAACTTGCATGATTAAATTCAATATATATTTTTGCAACAGATACAAGAGCTTCATAATGACAACCTTCTTGGAGTTCATTCAACAAAATGAAGATAGAGATGGTGTTAGATTCAGCTGGAATGTGTGGCCTTCCAGTCGTCTTGAAGCCACAAGAATGGTGGTTCCAGTTGCTTCTCTTTTCACACCACTGAAAGAGCGTCCTGATTTGCCTCCCATTCAGTACGAGCCAGTTCTCTGCAGTCGCACTACCTGCCGTGCTGTTCTAAATCCGTTATGGTAATTTCAATAAATATTGCTGACATGTTATTAGTCTTGTGATTAGTCTTGTGATTAAAAGATTGCATTGTCCCAATTTTACCAATTATGTACAGTCAGTTTTTGTATAGCATTATAGCTGTTTCCTAGAAACTCAGGTGCTATGCACTTTTATGCAATATGAATAACAGAGCTTATAGAAAAAAGAGGGGTTGGGCAGATCATTCAAGAATGACAACACATTCACAATCCAAATATTACCAAACACAACAAATAATCCTATTAAAGTACTTACATAGTTGAAAAATATATTAAATCCATAAGTAATGCAAATTTAGACTCAACTTGACAAAAAGTGAAAATGGCTTGAAGGATAAAACAGGAGGAATTGAGGCTGCAGAGTTATGAAGACAATGGAAGAAAAGGATGACGATGATGATGAGTAGCAGAAGGACAGATGCAGGATTTAGATGAATATGGTCACGTCACATGCTTCTTTTCTAAATAACTGCTTATATGGCTTCAAATAAGATTAAATTCCATGGATTATTCTGCTCCTTTCTGCACTGTGATTGTTGTGTTCTAACCATTGCAAATTCTTCCCATATACAATTAGAACTGAAGAAATCACTGAAGCAGAATGCTTTTTTTGTTGGCTTGCTGGACAATAACTTCTACTTGACTCTCATAAATTGTTGCGGATCTTTGGTTGAAAATTACTTTGCATGGGATTGAAACAGCTTCTCTAAGTCCTCTTCCTCCACTTTGTCAAACCTAGCCTGCTTAGTGAGAACAGTACAATGTGCTCTTATTTGGAAAACTGTTTTATGTGGTCAATGCCTTTCAAATCATAAAATCAGAAGGGCCATCAAGAACTATGACAGTAGTCTGTTTTAACCTCATTTTGAGCTTACAGTAGTACAAATTGCATTATTTATGTTGAATTGCTGCAAAAAATTAGGAACTGTGCATTTTTATCTTCAGTAGTTGTGATTGCCATCTTATATAACAATGTATAAAGTCAACAATAACTCTGAAGTTCTTGATGCTCTCCTTGGTAGTTCCTTGACTGGAGTATTGTTTTCTGCTTGACTTCACCCCTACCAACACTGGCAGGGCAAACTACAGTATATGCACAGGTGGCAGCCTCTCCCTTCACTAGCTCCGATTATGTTACATAGTTGGGTAATGAAATATACTGCAAGAAACTACCAAACTCAGAGACCACCAAGGACTCCACAGTTCAGCCCTAAGCAATATATTCTCTTCTCTTGGCAGCAGTAATTCTCTGACTGAGAGGCTGGAAGAGAATTGTTGTATTAGGAAACAAAAAAAAATGTAATGGCCAAAGGATGATTTGATATACAGGTAGTCCTTGACTTACAATTATTTGTGACTGTTTGAAGTTACAAAGGCATTGAAGAAAGTGACATGACCGTTTTTCACACTTAGGACCATTGCAGCATCCCCATGGTCATGTTATCAAAATTCAGACGCTTGGCAACTGGTTTGCATTTATGATGGTTGCATAGTCCTGGGGATCCTGTGATCACTTTCTATGACCTTCTGACAAGCAAGGTCAATGGGGAAGCCAGATTTACTTTACAACTGCGTTACTAACTTAACAATTGCAGCGATTCACTTAACAACTGTGGAAGAAAAGTTGTAAAATGGGAAAAATCACTTAACTGTCTTGCTTAGTAGCAGAATGTTTGGGCTCAATTGTGATCATAAGTCGAGGACTACTTGTATTGTCCAAAACAACTAGATTCATAAAATCCACATTTTTGTTCTTACAAACACTTCAGTTTTGTTTTCTTCAACTTAAGATATCCTCAGATGTGTTAAGTAGAAGATAAATGAAGCTCTGGTCTATCATTTACCCCCCCCCCCCTTGCTGTGTCTGATATGGACCCCAACAGTAGATCCATTTTAAGGCTTGGTAATTGGCCGCATGATAAAAAGTAACAGGCTTCAATTTTCAGGTTGCTGCTTTAATCATTATAGTCAATTTATCCTTAACAGCTTTGCATCCTGGAGCTCATGCTTCCTTCCCTGATGTGATGGCTTGTTTTCCAATGAAAACCAATTACATCAAAGCTGAATAGCTGAATAATGTAGTCTTTGTAGTCAATTGTTATTTTTTATTATTGCACAAAATACCTTCAGCAAAAAACTTCCCGTTATTTTCTCAGCATTTCTTCTGATTGTCTGTAATATTGCTAATAGCACACACAATGTCACATATTTCATTTATTTCAAAAAAGTTTGAAAATTTCAAAGTTTTTCTGTGATGCTAAAGCTTTTCTGTTTTTTTCTCTGCCTGAAATTTTATCACCAGTATGTTTCTTTGGTATATTTTTTCAACTAGTGTATTTATTTGGAGGGGGGAGAAGCATACTTGAGCTGTAATAACAATACCCCAGAACTGAGGAGAGAGCTGCAACAGACAGTAACAAAATACCATATATGTGGTAACTGATTTGAGTAGGCAGTGAATAAAGCAGCAAACTATTGTGTTTAACTGGTTATAGCTTGCTATGTTCATTTGTCATTTCTGATTAGTGCCATATTGAAGTTCAGGAAAATTATGTGTAAATCATGCTATGCTAACACCATTATCTTATCAATTGTATATGAGTGAATTAGTATTGCATATATATGCTACAGTATATGAGAACCGACTCTACAGTGAACTTAGCCAGCCCAGCAAATACTGATTAGAGAGGAGCTAAAATAGAACATCCAAAGAGTTAAACTTATTAATAAGTTTTGTTAAATAAAATCTAGAGATGAAAGTATATAATGAATATAGAAAGTAATCTATATTCAGATTTGAGCTTGAAACTGCATTATCTCATTTGTATTCATAATTTATTGAAACATTTAATATTATGTTTGTAGCCAGGTTGATTATCGAGCAAAACTATGGGCTTGCAATTTTTGTTATCAGAGAAATCAGGTAAGTCAACATTTATATTTGTCCCAGCTATTTTAACGTGGGTTCTTTTTTTTTTGCTTTATTAAACATACAGATACTATAGTGATAGCATGGTGAAAATAAAAAGATGCAAAAATCATTTTGATATGTAGAAATGAATCGATGTTAAATCTGAAATAATAGTTAGCAAATGTTGAGTAAGTAAAGAAAAAGGAATTGTAAATCCTGGAAAAGAAGTGTCATTTTCTTCTTTGTTGAAAAAGGATTACATTTTTTGAGAAGCAACATTGTATTAGTCATTTTTTACATGTCAACTGTAGATTAATCGTTCTGATGATGTCTATGGGTAATCTTCACTTAATGACTAGAATTTCCATCATTAAGCAAAACGGTAACTAGGCAAAGCACCATTTGACCACTCTTTAGTGATGGCAGTTCCTATAGTCCCAACTGCGGTTGTTAGGCCAGGACCATGCCAACATTTGGGAAGGATCTCCTGCCTACCATGCTCGCTTCCGCTTCAAGACTCTCCATCTATTCATATCTCCATCACTGTTGTTTTGGCCACCCTGCATTTTGCTGGTCTTATTCCTACTCTCCAGCTGATCTTCATTATGATCTTGTTTCCTCTGCTGCTAGCTTAGGATCCAGGCGTTGGGCAAGGGTAAAGCCCTGCAACGGAGCCTTGCCTGCTAAAGGGAGCTTGCTGGGCTTGTCTGATGGGCCGGCAAGGCACGGTGTGCTCCATTACCAGGCGAGACAGGAAAAGCTACAGTGAAGGTGGGGGCAGTAAGGAAGGTGCTATTCAAGGTGACAGCAGAATTGGAGGAAGCTGAAGGCTAGAGACTTCCTGAAGGTGCAGTGTGTGGAAGCACTCCTGGAGAACCAGTCTGCCAGGTTTCAGCAAGGAGTGGAGGCAAGCCTGCTATGAACAGAACCTAGGCACTGTCCCTCTGTTCTCTGTGGCTCAGCCTATCTTCTGCAAAGCCTTGCAAAGGACTAGCAGCTTCCAATGCACTGAAGCTCACAGACCTGTTCTCCCATGGCACTTCTGACATGTGCTCTGTAGCTCTTGTCCCTCCACTTCTTCCAATTCTGCTGTCACCCTGAGCAGCATCTCCTGCACAGTCTCCACCTTCATCTGGGAGTCACCGCCTTTTCTGCATAGCCTAGCAATGGAGATGTCCTCCCTTTGCCATCCTGCTGCCTCTTCCCTTATAGGGCCTGGCAAGCTCCCTTCAGCTGACAAAGCTTGCCATCCTGCTGCACTTTCTGTGTTCATCCCAGGGCTGCACCCTTGTCCGGGTCCTGCATCCTGGGCCCATAGGAGGAGGAAGAAGGCTGTGAAGATTGGCTAGCGGCAATGGCAGTGGTGGGTGAGGGGGGGTAGCAGGAGTATGTGGCAGAGTGCAGGTGATGAAAAGGATAGAACCCAAATATTGATCATGTGACTGGGCGGGTCCTGCATTGGCCAGAACTCCAAGGATGACTGGTTAACTACCAGTTGTTCAACGACACTGTAACTTTGAATGGTCACTGAATAAACCAAATAACACAAATAGCAATTTGTTGTCGTCAGCCATTCAGCTGTGTCCAATCCTCGGCCACTCTAATTAATATCAAATTAAGTCCAAAAATAAATTGACGGCTGACATTCCTTATTTTGATGTGCACCCCAGGCTAAAACGATGAATGGTTAAGTCTGAAAGATTTCAGGTAGAGTGATATGGTATTGATACTAAGATGCACAGATAGAAATAAAGATAGTAATAAAATTCAGTGTGATGTGTTAGGTTTATATAAACATTTCTGTCATTTTTCTTTCAGTTTCCTCCTACATATGCTGGCATATCTGAGATGAACCAACCTGCAGAACTTCTACCGCAATTTTCTAGTATTGAATATGTTGTACAGGTAAATATTACGATTAAAAATTTAGAGATGAGTGTTGAACTAGTGAACAATAGTAGAGGGGGAAGATGTGATGACCACTATGGCAGCATATTATAACAATATGCATTATCATTTGTTAATACAGTGGAATAAATCAGAATTATGCTCTTCATTGTTTGGCATAATTTGATGTGATTTGTAAGAACAGCATAGATATTTCTCAGATGATAGCATAGAGATGGTTGCTCAGCATTATAGATGTTACCTATCACATTTGTTTTTAACTCATGGAACAATATAATAACATAAATCTGAATTGCACAGAAATATGCTCAAATTCTACATTTGCAAAACTCAACACATAACACTTTGTGAATATTTCTTTATTGTTAAAAAAAAACCCTAAACGTGAAAGAAGCATAAAATAGGAAAGCAAAAAATCAGTAAGAGTATTACAAATATTATAAAACTGAAAAACATTTTCAAAGTAATCTTAGACTATATATTAAGATATGTCAATTTAACAATTCATATATAATTAAAATCAAGATAATATGCAAGAATTCATAGCAATAAACAATATAGTATATTTTTAAAACCAAGATGAGGAAATAGTAATTTCTCTCTACTCTAAAAATTCTATCCTTGTTTAGCAAGTCATTGAGAAACTCAGCTAATAAAAGCTTAATGTTAGAAGAAATCTTAACACTCATAATTATGGGGAATTATAATCTGGTAATGCTTTCCATGTTGAACTGGATAGTTCATTGGATAGTTTTCCATCCAATTTGTTTATGTTTTAACATTGATGCATACTCCCACTCTAAACTTAATTTGCCATTTGGATTATACATAATTTCCAGTGGGAAACATAGATTATTCTAGAATTGTAATCAGTTTGATATATTTTGTGATAATCTGTGGTGTTAATGTAAAAATAGCAGGTGGGAAAGAGAACTCTTCAGAATTTGTTTTATCTTATTTGGTTATAAATTATTTTCTAGAATTATTGGGCTTTGTAGTATTCTTACCAAATAGGAGAAAATGATGTGACTTGAATATTACATTTATAACAATTTTTAGAGAATGAATTATATACTATATTATTTGTAGTGCAGTATCAAACACTTAAATGTTTTGATCAGTAAAAGGGATAACAAACACTCCAAAATTGGTTTTGGCATTATTAGTCTAATAACACTATTGACTTTGATCTGTATTGCATGCTAATTTGTCATGGTTCTTTTGTGAATTGATAATATTATTACAATGTTTTTCATTTTACTTAAAGCGTGGACCTCAGATGCCTTTGATATTTCTTTATGTTGTTGACACTTGTATGGAAGATGAAGATTTGCAAGCTTTGAAAGAATCTATGCAAATGTCATTAAGTCTCCTACCTCCTACTGCTTTGGTAGGGCTTATTACTTTTGGGAGAATGGTGCAAGTTCACGAGCTTGGCTGTGAAGGTATTTCCAAAAGTTATGTGTTCAGAGGGACAAAGGATCTATCTGCAAAACAACTTCAGGTAGATAATCTGTCATTTAACTTGATCACTTTATGATTGTTGTGTCTTGGAAAATAGAAGAAGAAAATGTCTACTGAACAAAGTATTATAGTTCAGGAGTTAAAATGCATTTTCTGATTTTAACTACATTTGATTTTAAAAATGTTGAAATGACATTCTTAAATCTCAGGGGAAATATTATAAAGATTGAATTACCTGTTCAGTACTGTCAATGTACCATACTCAACTTTAAAGCTGCCATTAGTACTCCTAATCTTCTACTTTAAGATCATTAAAAATAGTAGAAAGATGTAATACAGATTTTATACACGCAAATGTGCCGTCTAATACTGAAGTAGGAAGATGTATTCGCTAGACTCATAGTTCCATCTAGTCAGGCTTTCCTCCTCTCAGGAATCCTTTTCCTTTTTCTTCTTGAGACTTGAAAGCTCAGTAATGAGTGAATTGTATAAGCAGATGGGAAGAGAAGCCTTGGACAGGTATGTCAGAAACTCATGCTCAAACTTGATTCTTAATTATAAGGGGAAATAATAGGATTCAGAAAAGGAAGCCAGATAAGTGCTTGAAAATGAAAACAAAAAGCTAATCTTACTAATCTACAATAAACATCAAGGTAGCATAGCAATGAACAGCTTAGGCAGAAAGCTAGGTATCATCCTTAAACAAGCCTAGACTATATATCAGTTGGAAACTAGGAAAATATACTTTTTTAAAATTCAAGGGAATGGTATAATAGAGCTGTTGATCTAAAAGAGGGTTTTGACCCACTTTGGCAGATTTGATATACAAGTTGGATTATGGATGGCAGCTCTCTTGGTCAATAATGCTTGTAGGTTTTTTTTTTAAAAGCACTGTTGATATAATGAACAGAAGGAATAATCTTGAGGACCAAGAAAAATTGCAACAAGACAATGGTCAGATTAAAAGAAATCTGAATCTGGGACAGAATGTAATTTCAGAAAGCATCTCAGATATGATCCTCCCTAATTCACATGAAGAAAAAAAAAGAGGGAGGGGAAAAGCACATTCAGACTTGCAAGATTTTGTTGCCATAACCCTGTACTAAAACCCTAGTACTGTATTGGCTTGCATGTCTTTGATTCCCAAGTTGGTCTATCTTGGAGACCTTCATGAGAACTAGGGAAGATCATCTCTCAAATTATATTTTTGCCCCAAACTCAGATTTCTTTTATCTGACCCTTGTCTTGATTACAGCTCTTCCTCTCCTCAGGGTTATTCTTTCTGCTGACTTCATATGGATAGTTATTATTTTGAGTGATTTGCCAAATATATAACTGTTCTGTTATGCACTGTTCATAGGAAATGCTAGGACTTACAAAAATCAATGTATCACAAGTGAGTCGTGGTCCTCAGGTACAACAGCCACCACCATCTAACAGGTATCAATTTTTATTTTAAAAAAGAGTACTCTAAATGGCTTTACACTAAGTTCTGCTTTGTTATGTATCTCCATAATTTATTTTATCAGTGCTGAACCCTTATGAACCAGCATCAATCAATTTATTCATTTATTTTGGCTAAGAACCAAAAAGATCAGGGTAGTCTACTAATAAAACATTATATTATTTTGGTTTGGTCTATGTTGGTCTCTTCAATAATTTGGGTTATATCCATTGTTATCATGGTGACTATGAATTCCTGAATGGGCCCAGTTTCCATCCCATCTAGGAGCAAATTGAAGCCTCCAAGAACTATAAACCTTGGAGTCTTTGCTGCCAGTCTGCTGAAAGAATTTAGCAACTCAGATACAAATTTTGCTGTGGAGCAGGGAGACTGGTATAGCAATTATTCCCTAGAGCCCAGCTTCAACCAGAGTGTTTCACACCTGTTTATCTGTGGAAAAGGGTTTCTGAAAGTGTTTGAAGTCTCATGGATGACCAACTGCCATTTTAACCCACGGCACCCCACCTGGACTTTTGGCTGGTGCCAAACCTTACACCTAGGTGGTAATATCTTTGAGAGGGGAAACCCTCCCTTCCAAACCATCCAGATCTTGGTTATACTTGCTAGGTCAGCTGCTTCATCCACAATCTTATGGTGGATGTGCATGATCTTACTGCATGCCAACTTGGTGTTGAGTAACAGCAGACAGAGCTGAAGACCTCAATGATCCCATGATGTGGACTCAAGGATGACTACTAATACATGGAAGGCAAGACACATCTTAATCACAGACTTCATCATTCTTGCAAGCAGCCCATCCTTAGCTTCTCTCCATATTTTCCTCTTTTAAAGTATATAGTAATATAGAACAACTTTTTAAAAGAACACGCTGGTAAGATTTTAAGTGTGTTTGAGTAGACATTGCATATGCTGTTTCTGTAGATTGAACAGCTTTCAGTAGGTGTCTTCTTCCAAATGATCAGCATGTTAAATAAAAACAAAATAAATACAGACTGAGAATTTCATCCGGTCATGAATTATAATTTCGTTCATTTGTACAGTAGATTACAGTTTTACAAACTTGATAACTGCAGAATGAATGTTAAATCATGTTTGAGAAATTGAAATTGTAGAACAGTATATTAGTATATTCATATTTTCCAAAATGAAATCCCAAACATTTTTTTTTGCTAGAACTGCTCTCATTGGCATTATTCTTTTCTTTTCCTTTGACCTTGTTGCTCATTGTCAAAACATTCTTTAGAACAGATTTTGGGTGGGAGACAGGTGTAGATAAATGGGAAGAGCTCATAGGATGGGTTCCTTCTTGTGTGAGGCTGGATTTCACTTCCCAGTTGAAAACATAAAATTTTAAATGGTTTCCCTGAGAGCAAAACTGTTTTTATTCTTTCTAGATTCTTACAACCAGTACAGAAAATAGACATGAATCTCACGGATCTCTTGGGTGAACTGCAACGAGATCCTTGGCCTGTTCCCCAAGGGAAAAGACCTTTGCGATCTTCTGGAGTGGCTCTTTCCATAGCTGTAGGACTGCTAGAGGTAACAAGTTATCTCTGATATAGGAGAATAATTAAGTTAATGTGGGTTTGATTTAAATTAGAAAGATAACTATTTTTAAAGATGGTAAATAATTTTCTGAAACATTTTATCACAAGTATTAAATTTACTAAAATTTGAGCAATAATTATTTTTTCAACTCTACATATCTAATTTGGACAGTGAGAGGGACAGTAAATTTAATACATAATTAAATAAATAATTGATACTGCAGTTTCTTTTAGAACATGAATAAACAGTTCTAAATATCAATGGAATGGCTTCAGGAAGCTCATTTGTTTCTTGACTTGTATTTATTATCCTGTAGTGTACTTTCCCTAATACTGGTGCTCGCATAATGATGTTTATTGGTGGACCGGCTACCCAGGGGCCTGGGATGGTTGTGGGAGATGAACTTAAGCTCCCTATAAGATCTTGGCATGACATTGAAAAAGATAATGCCAAATATGTTAAAAAAGGTACTAAGGTAAGAGACTCTATAAATGTTACTTTCCATTTATGTTATCTAAGAAGTGTGTTTGATACATTCCAAAATGACCTGGTCTTTAGATTATACATATTTTCCAGAATTAAAAAAGTCTTTACATGTTTACAGTCTTTCTAAAAATATTCTTGAGAAACATTCTGACAGTTATAGGGTTCAGATGGTTTACTAAAAAAATACCGATGGACAGTATATCAATTTAAATTAAAATATGTTTCAAGAGCTGTGTTTGTATAAACATGCTTAATAGATACAATTTTGAATATTTTGTTGACATTTTTGTTTATCTTACATAATCGGGGAAAGAAATACAATAAGTCAATACTATAAAAATATACTGAGAAGGATTAAAAGGGTGTACAGCATTTAATCTTCATCTTTTTGTCATAAAGTTGAATACCTTGTGTTAACATATGGCTATAGAAACTCACGTAATTGGAATAAATTATATTTTTGTATAGCATTTTGAAGCTCTTGCAAATCGTGCTGCTACAACAGGTCATGTTATTGACATCTATGCTTGCGCATTGGATCAGACGGGTCTTTTGGAGATGAAATGTTGTGCTAACTACACAGGGTAGGTAATATATGAAAGTATATATGTAGGAATAATATAATTTACTGAAGAAATATTATTTCAATAAACTGTTAAAGAAAATCATTCACTATATGTGCCAACTGGACTTGCATCTATGAGCATATGTAGTTAGCATAAAGCCAAAACTTTTGATGCTTCTGAATAGATTCATAAATATATATTTTTTCATATATCGTAAAATATGTGTATCATTTAATTCTGGAGCCCTATTAGGTTAAAATGCCTGTGCTCACATTGCTAAATAGGACCCATGGATAATGCTTGACTTACAGCCAAAATTGGGACCGTTCACCCATCTCTTCCTCTCAGTCAATGCTTTGGGCGGGCATTGAATTTCGATCACATGACCGCAGGGGCGCTGGGACAACCATCCATTTGTTTAGCGCCTCCATAGCTTTGAATGGTCACAGAATGAATGGTTGTAAGTTTAGTGCTCTCGGCAGCTGTTCTTCAAATGAGTCCTGCTTGGTGAATTTTATTTCTTCACTAGACAACCCCTTGGGCCAGAGGTCCCCAATCTTTTGAGCACCAGGGACTGGTTCCGTGGAGAGAGTTTTTTCTGCAGACCGGAGAGGGCGTGGTTTCATGCACTACCTGCATCCCGCGGATGGGGCTTGTTTGCGCAGCCCGGTTTCAGGCATGCTGCGGCCCAGTGCCGGTCCATGGACCAGGGGTTGGGAACCCCTGCCTTGGGCCATTGCTTCAGAGATGCTTTCTTATCAGATTCCTCAGTGCCTTTAACAACAGTAGAGCTTCTAATATTTCTTAAAAATTCTTAAAAGTTCAGGGAGGTACAGTATTCAGAGATGTATTTGCCTTGAAAGTCCATGTTGAACTGTACAGCAACATCAGGAGTTCACCACAGGAAATGTTTTATGACATTTTGTAGTATGTCATAATGCTTTATGATAATTCTATATTATGAACAGTTTTAATTTTTTTGTGTCAAATTTCAATTTCATGGAAGTCATGGGTCATGGATTTTGAATGCATTTTGTAATTTAGCTATTCTGTAACTTGAGATACCTTGCTCAAAATTAGTTACCCTATGATGCACTGTTTCACCCATTTAAAGGTTATGGGAATCAGAGTTTTTATAGTATATAGATTACGTATGTTCTTGAATAAATTGTATATTAAAAATCAGTATACATAAAGTAAAGTGACAGATGCCACATCATTTGTTTATGTCTGATGACCACTTTTAAACATTACATTCACAAATATGAAAAAATTGTAAAGAAATATGAAAGGACAGAGGTTTTTCCAGATGCAGATATGTGCAGTTGTGGTAGGAGACCAGGTTCTGAAAGCAATAAATGACAATGTAACTGTTCTTTAGGACTATCCATCTCTGTGTCTTACTTTTTTTTTGTCTTCATTTAGAGGTTACATGGTAATGGGAGACTCTTTCAATACATCTTTGTTCAAACAAACATTTCAGCGGGTGTTTACAAAAGATGCACAAGGGCAATTCAAAATGGGATTCGGAGGTACCTTAGAAATCAAGGTAAGGAATGACATTTACTATAAAAAAATAAGGTTCTGGTGTTCTTATCCTGTAAAATCTTACTGTGCACTCAGAGCTAAACAGACTTTTGTGGAAAGGGAGTATTCTAGCAGTAACATTCAGCTTCAATTTTTAATCCTTGGATTGAAGTACTTTATTTCACTGTGAGAATAAACTGTTTAAATTGTACAGCTTCTTTTCAGAATGAAGTACAACACTGACTGATGTCCTTGGGTTAAAGACGCAAAGTAAACTTTTAACTGTGCAGCTGTAATACTGCACTCATTGTTTGGCTAAACTCTATTAATTTTATTTCTTACTAGCCCACAAAATAAATTGCTAAATATATTTTATGTTCCTGTGCAGTTACAGCAAACTCTCTAGTGCATGGGAATATAATCATAAATAGGATATTTAGATTACATTCACATGATGTACTGAATATTTAATAGAAATGTTTCTCGCTGTGAGCATTTTTTTCCTGTCTGCCATTTCAACAGTTGAGCAGCAGCATATGAAATCAAAGTACTATTATATGGTTACCCATATTTTGCTGGAGTAATGAAATGCTGCTTGAGAAATAAAATAATATTGAAAAGAGGCAATAGATTTAGTAGTAAATGCAGATTTTTCATACTGAGGGCTAAGTCTAAGTTCTGGATTCCCAGTTTAAAAATATCTCATCCTGGTGAGCCAGTACCACTGAGAATTCTATAACAACTGGCCTCTATGCATCAGTAGTTATGATTTTATATAATGCTGAATTGTGAAATTAGAAGGCTTCAAAGGACAATAGAAATACTCTAATTCAGATTCTTCCTCCTAAAGATCACCCAACCTCTGTAACCTATCACTCCTCTAAAGGAAAATAAATATTTTAAATTTAAAGAAAACTGAGTCATTTGATATAATATGAGAAAGTCGTGCATAAACACCAAAAAACCTTTCATGCAAAATATGTAGTTTTGAGAAAGAAACATGACCATTTGTTTAGCAAAATCATAGATGCTATTTTTCAGAGATTGACTGGTTCTGCTCCAAATTTATTCTAGATAGAACAGTTACTTAGTTTCACTTTTACAGGCTATGGTAAAATTACTAAAGTGAATTTTAATCCACTTTTTTATATTATTCTCTTTTACTTTGAAATCTATATAGACTTCAAGAGAAATAAAGGTATCTGGAGCAATTGGACCCTGTATATCTCTCAATTCAAAGAGCCCTTGTGTATCAGAAAATGTAAGTTATCTAAAATGAAAATCAGGTATCATAAATCCACACCATTGCTCTTTTTAACATATGAAATACAATAGAAATTTTATACTTTGTCAAATATCCTAAATAATTATTTTGTTACTTAGATACATGATTGATTATATGGCATCAAGTCAGTGTCAGTTCTTAGTGACCACATAGATATTCTCCTGGAGGAACTCTTCCCAATCTGGTCCTTCATCTCTTCCAATGATGCAGTCACTGCCATAGTAACAGTCCACTTTACTACTGGTCCTCTTTTCTTTACACTTTTCCCAGCATTAAAGATTTATCCAAGGGTATCTTGGTCTTCACATAATGTGTCTGAATTAAGATAATTTGAACTGGCATTTGTATCTCGAGCAAGAATGCTGTGTTTATTTTGTTTGATGGTTCATTTATTTTTCATTTTCTTGGCTATTCATGGTATTCTAAGAAGTCGTCTCCAACACCAAAGTTTCAAAATATCAATACTCTTTCTATGCTGCTTCTTCAAAGTCCAGCTTTCGCTTCTATAGTGTTACAGAACATGATATCTCAATATCTTTTCTTTCATTGCTACTCTAGTAAGTAGGTCTCTGACATATTTCTTGATTGCTGGTTACTTTACTGTTGCTAGTTGATCCTAAAAGGTAGAAGCTATCCAGCATTTCAATATTTACACTGCCAATTCTAAGGCTGGTTGCTGTACCTTTTGCCATTAGGTTGGTCTTTAATCTTATTCCCACTGCTTTCATTACTAGTCCTTGGGGATCATTTGCATTTTCAACTATCAGAGTAGTGTCATCAGAATAGCACAGGCTATTGATTTTCCTCCTTTAATTTTAAAAACACTGATATCTTCTTCCAAACAAGCTTCCCCCAATATGTATTCCACATGTAGGAAGAATATGACAGTTTGGGGAACTTGTTAAGGTGCTGGCCTAGAAATCAGGAAACTGTGAGTTTGAGGCATCTCTTAGTCATGAAAGCCAGGTAGGTGTCTTTTGAGTCAATCATTCCCTCAGCCCAACTCACCTCGCAGGATTGCTGTTGAGGATAAATAAAAGGCAGGAAGTATTAGGTGTGTTCATAGTCATATACAATATATCTAAAAATAGCAGGATAAATATATAACAATAATAGAATGCACAGTCTTGTTTCACTCTTTTGCCATCCTGCAGCCAATCTGTTTCGCCAAGTTCTGTCTGTACAGTACTGTGGCTTCCTAACCTGTGGATAGGATTTTTGCATGAGGACAATGAGATGTTCTGGAAAAGCCTTTTAATTGTCTGCATAAAATTTTCCTTTCCACCATTCAGAAATGGTGGAAAGCTGTAATCTTCTAGAGCAAATTCTGAGGTACCTAGGCAGCTATGGGTAAAAAGAAAACAAATGGTCTGCCCATGTGACTTGGAATTCCATCTACTATTATTTCCATCTACTATCATCTAGTGTAATTTTTAATATATACTTTTAAAACAAAAATTTGACTTGTCTTAAATTTTAGGCAACAATAGCAATAGCACTTAGACTTATATACTGCTTCACAGTGCTCTGCGGCTCTCTCTAAGTGGTTTACAGAGTCAGCATATTGCCCCCAACAATCTGGGTCCTCATTTTACTGACCTTGGAAGGATGGAAAGCTGAGTCAACCTTGAACCGGTGAGAATCAAACTACTGGTAGTCAGCAGAATTAGCCTGCAATACTGCATTCCAACCACTGCACCATCATGACTCCTAATTTCAAAAATGGATATTTTTTTAATTGCATTCTGCTCTCTCTTACTTAACATTCAGAGTCATTGGGAGTTGGTTGGTGTATACACCATCATCATTCACTAGATTCTTTTTTTATAGATTAGCCTGAGTGGCATCCAAAGGTATGATTCAAATTTTCTCTTTTCTTCTCCTGGCCTACCTGTGTCCTCCAAATCCACCATAGAGGATTATGGAATCCTCTGGAGCAGATTTGGTGGACAAATAGTGGAAGGCAAGAAGAGAAACACTGGTGAAACATTGAATTTATTCTTTGATTAAGGATTCATGTACACTGCATCATGAAATATAACTGCAGGAATCAGTCCAGGCAATTATCAGGAATCAAAACTGACTCCAAGGCGCACACACAAACACAGACTTTATTTCATATCACACATATATTACTTTAGCAACATTCTTATGAAGCTGTTAGAGGTAAGGTAGATAAAGTCTGGGCTCATTTACTTTACCGCTTATGCTGTCTTTCTGGTTACTATCACTGAAATAGCTCTTGTATAACTGTTCAGGGCATTTGTAATTTCATTATTACAGAACTTACTATTTTGTTTCTTTTTGTATCTGCACAAGGAACACCTTGCTAAGTATTAGCATAGATACTCTGTTGTTTTCTCTTTGGCCATAAGGTGGCATTTTGTTGCTTCCATTTTAAGATATTCCATCATGCATCTGAAGTAGGCTTTAGTCTCTCAAAATGTTTTTTAAATATAGAATGAGTTAAGCCTTTGAAAACTTTTATCCTTTTTGGATAGGGCATTATTAGAGTTCTAGAAATAATGATTCTGTGGGTTTTACTTCAAGGGAAACATGCACTAGATATGGAATCTTTAGGGAGGAAACTCTAAAAAATTAGTCTGTATTTGCTTTTTATTTTTTCCTTCTAAATGATTAGTTAGTAGTTGTTGCTGATTTGTGTTGTCTAGGGTATCATGAAAAAAGTCTCATAAGGTAGTGTTCTAATGTAATACATCTAAAATCACTTAAATTTTACTAGTATGTAGCAGATTGTATTATTACTACAAATTCATTTGCAATCTCCTTACAGGAAATAGGAACAGGGGGTACTTGTCAATGGAAGATTTGTGGACTTAATCCCACTACAACTTTAGCTTTGTATTTTGAGGTGGTTAATCAGGTAAGAGAAAAGTAGCTGAATATGCTTTATTGAGAATAACAGGGTTGCAAAAAGGGAATTATTGTAGTTTTACAATTATGTGTTTCTACAAGGATATTGTTACTATTTTTTT